CGTCATGAGTGCCCATGTCGTTCAATATCTTATAGCACACTCATGTCGTTCTCACTGATAAATGTCGTGCAATACTTTACAGTACACTCATGATGACAAATGTCGTTTAAAATTTTACAGCACACTCATGACGTTCTCACCAGCCAATGTCGTTCAATATCTGACAGTACACTCATGTTGTTCTCACTGAGCAATGTCGTGCAAAATCTAACAGCACACTCTTGACGTTATCAATACCCCACGTCATATAATATCTTTCAGTACGCCCATGACGACACATGTCATTTAACATCTGACAGCACACTCATGAAGTTCTCACTAACCCATGTCGTTTAATATCTTACAGCAGACTCATGTCGTTCTCACTGACGTTAACATGTCATGCAATATCTTACAGCACATTCACGACGTTATCAACAACCATTGTCGTTCAATATATTACAGTACACTCATGTTGTTCTCACTGAGCAATGTCGTGCAAAATCTAACAGCACACTCTTGACGTTATCAATACCCCACGTCATATAATATCTTTCAGTACGCCCATGACGTTTTCACCAACTAACTTCGTTCAACTTTTACAGTTCACGCATGTCCTTCTCACCAACCCATGACGTTCAATATCTTACTGCAGACTCATCTCGTTCTCACTGACAAATGTCGTTTAATATTTTACAGCACACTCATGACGTTCTCACCAGCCAATGTCGTTCAATATCTGACAGTACAATCATGTTGTTCTCACTGACCAATGTCGTTCAGTATTTTACAGTAAACTCATGTCGTACAATATCTTACAGTACACACATGCCGTTATCACTAATCCATGTCGTTCGATGTCTTACAACAGACTCATGTCGTTATCACTAATCCATGTCGTTCAATATCTTTGTCGTTAGCACCAACTCATGTCGTGCAATATATTACAGTACACACTGATGTTCTCCCCTACCAATGTCGTTCAGTATTTTACAGGAAACGCATGTCGTTCAATATCTTACAGCACAATCAAGACTTTCTCACTAATCCATGTCATTCAATATCTTATAGCACACTCATGACGTTATCAACAACCCATGACGTTTAATATCTTACAACAGACTCATGTCGTTCTCACTGACGTTAACATGTCATGCAATATCTTACAGCACATTCACGACGTTATCAACAACCATTGTCGTTCAATATATTACAGTACACTCATGTTGTTCTCACTGACCAATGTCGTTCAGTATTTTACAGGAAACGCATGTCGTTCAATATCTTACCGTTCACTCATTTTGTTCTGCATTTTACAATACATTCATACTCATGTTGTTCTCACTGACCCATGTCGTGCAAAATCTTAAGGCCCTCATGACGTCATGAGTGCCCATGTCGTTCAATATCTTATAGCACACTCATGACGTTATCAACAACCCATGACGTTCAATATCTTACAGTACACTCATGTTGTTCTCACTGACCAATGTCGTTCAGTATTTTACAGTAAACGCATGTCGTTCAATATCTTACAGTACACTCATTTTGTTCTGTATTTTACAATACACTCATGTCGATATCACCAACTCATGTCATTCAATATCTTACAGTACACTCATGTCGTTATCACTAATCCATGTCGTTCAATATCTTACAGCAGACTCATGTCGTTCTCACTGACAAATGTCGTGTAATATCTTATAGCAAACTCATGACGTTATCAACAACCCATGACGTTCAATATCTTACAGTACACTCATGTCGTTCTCACCGACAAATGTCGTGCAATATTTTACAGCACACTCATGAGGTTATTTAAAACCCATGACGTTCAATATCTGATAGCACGCCCATGACGTTCTCACTAACCCATGTCGTTTAATATATCACAGTACGCTCATGACGTTCTCACTAACGCACGCGTTCAATATCTTACAGAACACTCAAGTCGATATCACCAACACATGTCGTTCAACATCTGACAGCACACTCATGAACTTCTCATTAATCCATGTCGTTTAATATCTTACAGCAGACCCATGTCGTTCAGTATGTTACAGTACACTCATGTCGTTAGCACCAACCCATGTCGTGCAATATCTTACAGTACACACTGATGTTCTCACCTACCAATGTCGTTCAGTATTTTACAGTAAACGCATGTCGTTCAATATCTTACAGTTCACTCATTTTGTTCTGTATTTTACAATACATTCATGTCGATAATACCAACTCATGTCATTCAATATCTTACAGTACACTCACGTCGTTATCACTAATCCATGTCGTTCAATATCTTACAGCAGACTCATGTCGTTCTCACTGACAAATGTCATGCAATATCTTACAGTACACTCATGTTGTTCTCACTGACCCATGTCGTGCAAAATCTTAAGGCACTCATGACGTCATGAATGCCCATGTCGTTCAATATCTTACAGTACACTCATGTCGTTCTCACTGATAAATGTCGTGCAATACTTTACAGTACACTCATGAGGTATCAACAACCCATGACGTTCAATATCTTATAGTACGGTCATGACGTTCTCACCAGCCCATGTCGTTCAATATCTGACAGTACACTCATGTTGTTCTCACTGACCAATGTCGTGCAAAATCTAACAGCACACTCTTGACGTTATCAATAACCCACGTCATATAATATCTTTCAGTACGCCCATGACGTTTTCACCAACTAACTTCGTTCAACTTTTACAGTACACGCATGTCCTTTTCACCAACGAATGTCGTTCAATATCTTACAGAACACTGATGTCGTTATTACCAATTCTTGTCGTTCAGTATGTTACAGTACACTCATGGTCACGTACCTGACAGTTATCTTATCGACTGCCCGAACACTACGTTAGGCATCACATGCCGTCTTGATTGCACGTGTAACACTACGACAGTACTTCCACATCCCTATGGCGTTTAAAACGACATCCATCCTCCAAAAAGAAGTTCAAAGGACTGTTGAAAATACGTCTAAGTTGAACTCGTACAAATGCTGGGCCATACCACGGGGTGTTGGTCGCGTAAAATATATTTATATATAGCAAACACAGCAAGAGAAAATCTAGAGTCACCACAACTGTTACCACCCATCTGAATATTGATACAACGCGGAGCTGGATCTTGAAAACAAAACCTGTCGTGAACCTCCTGAAAATGGCGGGGCTCGAGGCGTGCTATCTATTGCCCCTCAAACACATAAGCCTGTAACGATATACGTCTCTGCCTTAGTCAAAACTTTCAGGAAAACGTCATATAAATTAAACCTCGTGACAAAGTCGCCTGAGAAAACTGTGTCCTAAAAGTAATACTCTCGTGCGAATAACAGCCATAATTAGTTAAACATCAAACAAACAAAACGTATACTCATTTTTGTCTCATCTCTAATCGACGAGCCCTCAGAATCCTGTCCGTGGGTTGAAAACCGTCTTTGTCCAAAGCAGCTTGATGCGACTGTCCAGAAACTTTATCCGAATGGTTCGGTCATCTTATCAACGTCGATACGTCTCGGTATCGACCAAGACATGCATAAAAAAAGATTTAAAAATGTATTATCCCGAGAGCTTAATGAGCGTACAAATACAGTGGCTGCCTGATACGGGGATATGTCACAGAGTGAGAGAGTGAGAGAGCGTCACCTCTGACCCCTTGATCAATCAGTGACCAGCCTCAGAAACCCTGACGCTGTCATCGGCAGCTAATCATTGAACCGTCTATTGTGCCAACAATTCAAGCTTCAAAATTTGAATTAAAATAACAAGTTAATCTACAAAACTTGTTATGATGTTATGGGCATAAATTAAGCTAGTTGCTTAGCTGCCTTATATATCAACTAAGACTTGACGATGTACGGGATGTGTGTAAAATACATTAAAATCAACTATTGTGAAACATTGACCATAATTGCGTCTCAATCTGCAAGAAATAGAGTACGGCAGACGATGTTTATGTTGAACCTGTAAACGTGTCGAAAAATACGATGGCCGAAGCCTGCCAGGCGCACGGTATCACGGTTCACTGCCACATATTGTCTTTACACGTTTGTGGTACGCACACGAAACCTACCAGGCGCACGGTAACACGGTTCACTGCCACATATTGTCTGTACACGTTTGTGGTACGCACACGAAACCTACCAGGCGCACGGTAACACGGTTCACTGCCACATATTGTCTGTACACGTTTGTGGTACGCACACGAAACCCACCAGGCGCACGGTAACACGGTTCACTGCCACATATTGGCTGTACACGTTTGTGGTACTCACACGAAGCCTGCCAGGCGCACGGAATCACGGTTCACTGCCACATGTTGTCTGTACACGTTTGTGGTAGGCACACGAAGCCTGCCAGGCGCACAGTATCACGGTTCACTGCCAAATATTGTCTGTACACGTTTGTGGTACGCACACGAAGCCTGCCAGGCGCACGGTATCACGGTTCGCTGCCACATATTGTCTGTACACGTTTGTGGTATTTCTATATCACTCCTGTACGTGGTTGTCGTTTGTGTGGCTGATATTGGCCACTGACAGCCTCATACAGAAACGGTGTACTACTGGCGCTTTCGGCTGTAATATGGGACAGAAAAAATACAATAAATATGTTAGCATAGTACAAAAACAAAGTAAAATACAATAAATATGTTAGCATAGTACAAAAACAAAGTAAAGTACAATAAATATGTTAGCATAGTACAAAAACAAATCGTTCAATAGTGTATCGTGGTACAGAAACGAAGCATCAATGTCTCGGTTGTCTACCACACAATTATGTACCATGGTACAGAAACGAAGTATAAATGTCTTGTTTGTATACCGTGGTACAGAATCGAAGCATAGATGCTCCGAATGTGTCTGGCCGCCTTCGGTTATCGTAGAAAAAGACTTGTGTAAAATTGTGTATACATATACACACCACGGCGCGTTGTTAAAGTGTGAACAAAACGGGTTTATTTATAAACACTGTTTTACTGGGAATTCCTAGGATCAAAAATTCCAGCTAAGTGGGATTGTCACATGATTCTTAGTCATAACTTTCCACAAGATTCGGGGATGATCTCTGGGCAAGACGCCATTGACTAGTTTGTCAGCCGCTTCTGGTACATAGCTTGTCATCGAGGCAACAAATAAGGCAAGTAGTATATTGGGTTGTAATAAGGATACGATTTGGATGTATTTATATTGTATGATGCCTTCAGCTATCGGTCATAACATATACATTGTTACGATTTCTCATGCAATCTTTTGTATCCAATACACGTCGGTTTATGACCACTGCTTGTCATTGAAATACAATAAGTATCACATGTGTAGCGGAGTTGGACTGGGTCGATCACCGACTAAGGATATGACCATCTATCGTCCTGTCGATATTTTGTTTCTTTACACTAAATGCTACGTTTTCAAAAATACAAATAATAAGTGATCAGGTGTTTGTATTTGGCCTTTTGAGTTCCGTTCTTCCCTTTGATCAAATGATGCGACAACACCTTGCCATGTTTCTTTCATGGATTTAGAGGATCGTGGATAAAGTCAAAATGTTATTAATATATAAAATCGACAAAATATCATATCTATATTTTTGTAATGATTTCAATTTTATAATCATACAATTTCTCAAAATGTCTCTCTCTCTTTAAATAAAAGATACATATTTTTATGTGAAATTTTACATACATTTTAATGTATTGAATACAATTCATTGGAAAATTATGATTGTTTAAAAGTTTTATAAAATGAATGTCGTTCAAGTTCAAGTTCTTGAAACGAAAAGGGAAAGGTGCATATAACCATTAATGATATGAATTTCAAAAATTAGAGGGTTACTTGTTAATTTCAAATTAAGTATTGAGTAAAGTTGGTATGTTATGAACCGCGCCACTACTCGAAAGAGATTACTTTAGCTAGCAAGAATACGGCAAACCAAGGAAACTTCAAAATCCAACAAAAACACAATATGAGATTGGTAATGTACCATACTATCGTTCTTGATGTATGTTATGAATCCGTTTATTACAACAAGTAAAACATATTAATAATAAAGATATCAAAAATAATCTGAAACTCGTAATGTTTTAATAAGAAATACAATCATCTCATGTAATGTATATCTCTTTTCCAGATGTATATCTTGTGAACATGTCTTCACGATGAAATTTTTGTCAATTAAAGGATATGAATGAAATAGAAAGGAAAGTGTTACAAAGGAACCATTGTAATATTGTGGAGGTCATTGAACCCTTAGAACTAAGGCCGTTTCTGTATTCAAAAGGTGTTCTCCCGAATCCGACATTCCTGGGTGATGATCGGGTAAGAACAAGAAGGGCAGAAAAGTTTATCGAGTATATAGTTGAAAACTGTTCATTTTCCCTGTTTCTCGATTCGTTATCAAAGGACAGTGCGTATGATTTCCTTGCACAGAAACTGCAGCTAGAGTTAGATGACATATCAAAAGATGATACTGAAAGTCGGTATGTGCCTTATGAAATAAAGGAGTCATTATTCACACCAGAGCGTGCTAAAGCAATATGGTTTCGACACGAACTCAAACGCTATTCCATGACAGGGAATAATGAAGCATTCCTTCAAAGAAGTAAAACTATTACCGATAGGTGGAATGCCATACCCAAAGAAAAGATTTTTCTCGAAAATAATCAAGAATTGGCGGATATGTATTTCATGGTTCTAGACGCAACCATGGAAAGAAGACGAATTGTGTACGACACGACTCTTTATAACGACGATGAATTGTTTGGTAAGATGCAAGAGATGTCTTTATACACTTCCTCTGCTACACTACCTACAGCTATGCGTCTAGCACGTTACGGTTCAGCTCTTCTAATGGCAGGAAGGCCGGTGGAGGAAGCACTCAGTTACGTGGAAGAAGCAAAACAGCGACTTCAAACACTCCCAGCATGTAGAGAGTCTGGAGTAATTCTGTATATTGAATACAACATGCTGATTTCAGAAAGATACGAAAAAGATCCTACCGTTAAAATGAAGAATCTACTGTTAAAAATCGGAAGTGAGTCAATTGACCATTTTTGTCGAGAACAGGAAACGGTTGGAAAAGATTTCCGTAGAATGGTGTTGATAAAACAAGCACTGTTACTTCTAGGCATAGGACTTTTCCTAAACGACGTAGATAATGTTTTTGTCACGGATGAAGACAAAAAACAAGCTGAAACAATTTTGCAAGAAATCCGAAAAGAGGAGAATTGGAAAAGAATGGAACATCGCTGGCATGTTGCATACTATGTAGCAAATAGCAAACTACTCCGTCTCGAAGGACAAAGTGAAAAAGCATTGGATGAGATGCAAAAAGCTTCGAAATATGCAATAGATGGAACGTTTAAAAAGGAGCTTGGTAATATAAAAAAATCTGTGGTTTTCCAAAGTGGAAAACGAGAATGGAACTTCAAGAATGCGCTACTTCTTTTTTCGTTCATCATTCTATTAATAGCAGTGGTGTATCAGATAGTGTTTCATTAATCATGAGAAGACCTACTATGTTCAATGCTGTGGTGTAGAAGTTAATTAGGACCATTCAGCTAGAAGGTGCAAGCGCCACGGGCTACAGATGGGAATCCTTGTGTGAACACATGAGGTAAGGGTAATCATTTTAACGGAACTGGTAATACTTAAGATTGGTATTTATTTATCAATAATATTTAAGACTCTTTGAAATACTGGGTATTCAACTGATTATTCTATATTTATTATTACTATGCGTATTTGATTATTGTGTATAATTATTCCTTAATTCATCTAAATAAAAAATAGAACTAATTGACGTAATAGGGCCCCCTTAACTCATCCCCTTCTCTGTATTTCATATGTTTACTATAATAGTTATGCAGATTGTGGATTACTATTATCTTGTATGTTAAAGATGTTGTGATGACAAGGAGGAAAGCAATATTAAACCTATTGTTCACAACCTACTGTCAAACAAGGCTGTGCCGCTTGGAATCAAAACATTAGTGACGTCACAACGAGGTAGCACTATAAAGTCGTACATAAACTATTATATACAATTATTTTCGACGATTCGACGGACTTCCAAAATATAGGAACAAAACAAAACACAAAATAGAATAGAATATAAATAAAGGACAGCCTGGATACGGTACGCCCTCCTCCTAGACCAACGCCATGATATGATACGATCGGTAATCTCCCCATCTTTTTATATAATAAAAGTTCCAATAAGACACATAAATTATAAGCCCAACAAATTATAGACCCCCCATAAGACCATTTTTTCTTTTCTTAAATAGACATACACCAAGAACTAAGGGTAAATATCCGCATACACCATAGGGACCCCTCGGATAATCTCAGACTCTGGTCAAGCCTGACAAGGAAACAAAGTACTGTACAAAACGGAAGCAGAGACGTTTCTCTACTGTCGGGCACAACCGGCAGTAAGAGACCCGAGGTACATAACAAATATAATATATATTTACCTCTCTATAAGAACAGGAATATATGCAATAAATACACTTTCAAATATACAAATAATTTCATTTTTTATGTACATATATACATTAATATAAGCCATATTGGCCAAATTCGAATCCCCTCAACGACACCAATACATTAGTATTGATCAACAACCAAAGCTGCATCATCCGGCGCGATAAACCATTTCGGACCAAGGAGTCGTCTCCAAATTACACCACAAGATAAAGATAGGATAGAATAGACGACTCCAAACCACCCCCCGAGGGAAGGCAACTTCCCTCACGCCGACAGAACACTGACTTCCGTCAGTGAGATGAAACCCGTAAGGGCGGATTCATGTAGGCGCGAACCCGTCAACCAACCAACCAACCATCGAGATAGCACTCTTCATTGTCAAAATAAAGCGAGTGGGTTGGTTGCCGTCTACGGAGCTAAAACGCATAACTTTAATAAAACACGGTACCATTTTGTAAATGAGATAATGCGTGTCAAATTAAAAACAAATACGGGGGGAAAAAACCCAAAGAACTTAAAACGCTGAAATCGTAACTTTATCTATACCTCCTTGATCTTAATAAAAATGTGGTGTTGAAAATTAATGTTACAATTGACATCAAATATCCCAGAATGTTATTGCATTTATTTCTTAATGCAATATTTTTTTTTACATTTTTTCACGTCATGAGGCGCAAATATTGCTTCATCAGAAAAGCGCGGGAATGTGTAACGTAGTTTTTAACGCCAGGTTATAATGACGTCACGCTTGACAACAATACAGAGCGCCATTTTGAATGGGTTTTCCGCAGAGAATATAAAGTACCGTTCAGATTGGATAATACTAAGAGTGACGTTTTTACTTGCGAATATATATTATTTCGTGTATCTTCACTGCATTAAACATATGTGTTTATCAGATGGAGAATTCATGATATTTCACTAGAAAACTACTAAATACCGATACTGTAAGGTTTACCACCATATTTTTGTAGACAGTATGCGGCCTCAATTTCCCAGAAGGCTTTCACGCATGGGGAAGCACCGGAAGTGGACAAAGTGTTTATAGATCAACCCCCGACGGCGCTTTGCGCCGCTTGGGGGTTTGAAAAAAATGTTTAAAGTAGATTAAATGGTAAAATATATCGTTAACCTGACATTATTTTCAACATTGTTTTAACGTCACATTATAACATCAGTATTTGATAATCAATATTATATGTATATTCTGTCACATTGTTCAATCGACGTTGTTATAATGGACATTAATATGACTCAGGCATGGCCTGGAGAGAGCGCAGCTGGTACATTTGTTTCGATAGTATACTATATATTTTTTTAATCATAACATTACCCATTTTAATACATACACAATTTACCTGTATTTTTTTTTTCTTTTCCATAATATAGCCTACTTGAATCTGTTGCTGGGCAAAATCATTCATTTTGAAAACAGGCATTGCCTGAAACGAGAGAAGCGTCTAAATGCTTTTTTTTTTCAATTTTATTTTCTAAATAACATTATTTAAAATATTATCTATTTATTCGTTTTATAGGGATAAATGTAAAATCAATAAGTAAAGAAAAGCATTCGAATGAATAATGCAGTTCAAGAGAAAACACAAATGCATTTGGTACTGTTGCATTTAATTGCCCCGTCTATGGCCTCAGCGTAATGTTGCGGAAAGAGTGAGGCCCGATAGAGGGACTTCATATTTGAAGATGTATTGTTTATCAAATATAACTGTTATTATCTGTTATTATAAAAGTTAAGAATATTGGTGATTAAAAATCTAATTTTATTTTCCGACATGATATACTTAGCCTGATCCCTCTAAATCGTGTAAAAAGAGAATCACAATAGCCCAAACATATCCGTATTTCCGTTTGGTTTGGTAGTTACTATATACTTCCGGTTTGGGTGGAGAGAAGAAAAGACTAAAATTTGAAAGAAGCTTCAGTGTCTGTAATTTTCAATGTCATGAATTTACCTAACCATAGAAAAAAATTATCAAATAAAGAGATATTTTTGAGAATGTGTAGCAAAGCTAAACAGCATCGTAAAAATAGGACCGCGGTAACTCTATACTAGCTACTTCCGTGACGAAGGATTTTGGAAGCATAGTATTTCGACGTTACCATGACTTCAATTGTTCGTACACATGTTACCGGAAAAGAGCTTCGCTTCTTGCGCCTTCGGCGCAAGAAGAGCTGCGCTCTTATTAGAGTATACATGTTATGTGTTATAACAATGATATAATTTATGAATTCACTAAAACAAATGTCACCATATCATAATGCATTTTTCATTAAACTGTACCTGATAATTTTACTCTTGTTACGAACTGTTTACCAGACGTTATTTATTAAAACTGTTACAACATACATTTGTATGTTTTTTTTATTATTATCCCACACCAGGGTCACACGAACATGATAAAATAGTTCAGCAATACCAAATTGGTCCGTCCTTAATACCCCACTGCTATGATTTTTCTATGATCTTTCATTTTGAGCCCACCATCATCTGATGGTGGGCTATTCAAATCACCCTGCGTCCGTGGTCCGTGGTCCGTGGTTCGTCCGTCGTCCGTCCCTAAACAATTCTTGTTATCTGTATTACTCAAGAACTGTCATAGGGACCTTTATATTTTATATGTAGGTTCCCCTTGGTCTTAAGCCTGTGCATGACAACTTTTGAGACTGATCGGATGAACAACATGGCCGACAGGCAGCCATCTTGGATTTTGATAGTGAAAGTTTGTTATCGCTATTTATTATTAAGGGGGAGGAGAACAGCGATACAGATTCAGGGGACTCCTCCGATGACTACCAGAGGCATCGTCAAAGGAGTAGCAACATAAGATGCCCACTTACTCGGGTAAAGAGCGCTGGGAACAATTCGCTCTTATTTTCACCAGGATAATAAAGGACAATAAATGGTCGGACCGTAAGACCAAACAACGGTTTTTCGATTGTCTGGTGGGGGATGCGTTGGAGTACGCCGATAAGCTTCCACGAACTCTTGGGTTCACAAAACTCAAGAAAAAGATGAAGGAACGGTTTAGCGACAAGGGCGTCCCAATGGTGGCCCGCAGAGAGCTGAACCTCACTAAACAAGAGGAGAGTGAGAGTTTGGCAGAATTTGCTCAGCGGATTCAAACCATAACTGGAGACGGCTTTGCCCATGCAGACATCACCACGAGGAACCAGATCGCTACGGAGGCATTCCTCAAAGGCTGTCGCGAGAAGATGGCGACGCAGAGAGCCATGGAGAGGAATCCTAAGACGGTTCACAAGGCTCTGAAATAAATAAAGGCCTCCGTAGCCAATCAGCGTGTTCTGTTTGGTTCTCGCGCGCCACATTACCCTAGTAGGCAGGTGGAGTTTGCAGAGGGCACTAAGTCGGATGATGAAGTCCCTATACAGTTCTCAAAAGATGAGCTACAGGAGCTAAAGAAATACCTATCCCGGGCGCAGAGAGCCCCCCCCCCCCCCCCTGTTTATTGTACTCAAAACGACTAACAAACTCTCATAGAGTTTATTTTAGTTTAAACATATTTTATTGTACAAATATACAGGGTATGGGGGTTACCTAGAAAAGAAATCGTGTAAACTGTGAAAAGGATCCGCAATCCGATGAAGACGATGACTTGGACATTACAAGAGGGATTGGGGGGAGGGGATATGTATGCGAAAAGAGTGCAGAAAAGTAAGAGGTATGGTCTAGTGATAGAGAGAGTGCGAATCATCATATGGGTAGGCAGTATATGTACAGATGGTGGACACAGGAACGTGGATCAGGGTGAATAAAGATGATCATAACCAATATTGATCTGTATTGAGATTCGCATTGGAAAAGACTTGAGAAGATAATACAATTTTTTTTTATTTTTTTTTATAAGATAAGCATATGAAGCATGAGATATTAATGGCTATATCACGGACTTAGATAATCTAATTCCGTGGCTATATTAACTAAATGAGTATAGATGTAGCATCATTAATGAAAAATATTTTTTATATAGCAGGTACATTACATCTTTTAACTATTTTTATGAATTTCATAACTAACAAATAAGCAACTATTAAAAAAACACCACAAAACAACAACAATAACAACAACAGTATGTACAGCTTGAGTATGCACACGAGAGCCTGCATGAATCAGTAAATTATGTTTATTTAAAATCCCAACATCGACCACCTTTAATAAATAATACTTACATTATAGATGTCTTGGATGTAACTTAATAATGATATAGAAAATAAAGATAACAGTGCATTGGATCCAGACTTCTAGCACTGAAATATGTTGAGTTCTCAAAGGAAATAATCAGATCTCAGAATTTGAAAATAGTTAACAAGTTCACTGGTTGAACAATGTTAAAATTCAAGGGTCCAAAATTAGTTGTCTCCCTCCATAATTGGGATTGTCGGCAAGTATGGAAACTGCACTGTATGTATCCTTTAGATATACATTATACCTAATTCCTGTAGGAACTCTATCTAAAACAGATATTTGTATCGTTATAAATCTCTGATTTAGATAGAGTGCCTACAGGAATTGCAGTGTACCATGCAGTTGTGCAGAAATTATGCATGTTTTGCATTCCCACCATATATAGTTTAGAGCAGGAAATGTGTTCATTATTTTCAATAATGTCTTAACATGTAGAAAAGGACCCAATGTAATATGTGTTAGGTTAAGAATATCAGAGAACTGATCCAAATGATTTGATGTACATTATAGCAAAATGATAATAGATTCTAATTTGAATAATGCGTGATAATTATATTGCTGAAGTAAAGTGCACAGGTAAAACTATAGACTAATGGTATTGATCCAAACATAATGCATGTTTAAACAATGGTATTGAATGGAAAAAAAAAGTTTATTATTTAGCCATTTTTGTTTTTACTTTTGGCTTTCCATTTGGGTAGCTTTTCGGTATCTTACTTTCTGAAACCATCTAATTTCAATTTCATCATAATCATTCCAACCAAGTTTTAATTATTTCCTGCTAAATGTGGACAAATTGTACCAAAAAGTGTTCTTTCCTTTATACTTGTTTAAGCAATAGTAAACTTTACTCTCCCGGAGAGAAAAATAGAATAAAAATAACAATTCAAATAAAGCAGATAGGGGCCTTTTCATCCATGTGGAGAATAAGATTCTAGTACATCCTAGTGCAAGGAAAAAGACTTTTGAAGTTTTAGCCAATTTTCTATTTTTGGGCCCCACCCCTCCAACTACAGTACTGGTAATTGCCATCACATCATAATTTTTCCAACTAAATTTGAATTATTTTCTGCTTAAAATTGACAAAATATACAAAAAAGTGCTATTTTCCTGTATAAAGTCTAGTAAACTTTACCTCAGCTTCCCAAGGGGAGAACTGATGACCAGGAGTAAATAAATTTACAATTCAGATAAATCAACTTAAAGGACCTTTTCATTCATGAAATTTTAGTCAATTTTCCCCCTTTGAAACCTGTCCCTCCAGACCAAGGGGCAAGGTAGGATCTTATTTCCTTATATCGCTCTCATCATTACTAATCAAACCAAGTTTGAATTATTTCCTGAAATTTACTATTTAGACAAAGCACCTAAGCATCTTTTCATTCACAAAAGAGTGTTGATTCAAGTACATCTGAATATGGAGAAGATTTCTGAAGCATTGATCACCTGGGAATGGGGCAGGAATGCCAAATTTACAATTTGATAACCTCTTCCACCAATGATGATTCTTAGTAAGTTTGAAAGAAATGCATGAATTCACTGCTTCCTAAGAAGAATTAAAAAAAATATAAGTTTTGAAGAAAAGTGTTTAGGTCACTTGAGCCTTTAATTTGTTCCTGTATACTGTATGGTAAATATTCCTCCATCAATACTTGAATATTTTACCATATAAAGAAATAAGAAAATCACTAAAACTGATGGATTGTGCTCCCAAAAAAGACATTTGGGACTGGAATAAAGGTTGCATGATACACGTATCTTTACCTGAAATTTATCATGCCTGGCACTATTATTGACTCTGAGTTTACGTATGTAACTGTGTAAAGTGAATGAACAACCAAAGAGGTATGCAAAAAAGCTCGTCTTCCTTCTGCACATCACTTGCCTTTGGAGGTATACAGGGTAAGATTTAGTTGACCTTTGAACTTAATGAAACCTTGACCTTAACTATACAGACCCCATAGTGGTACTACATAATATAACGCCTAACATTCTTGCATATATAACTTATATTGAGTTATCTTCATCAAATCAGAAGTGCCCTGAAAAAGAATTTGACCTATGACCTAAATGTGACCTTGACCTCCAGGCATAGGGAC